GGGGGGGGGGGGGATAGGATCGGCATGTCGAATTGCGCGGGGACGGCGGGGGATTGATGTGCTAATCAGACGCGGTGGTGATGTGCCGCCCGCTTATTTTCACGTTCGACCCTCACGTGCGCCCGCCCGCGCTGCAAATGCGTCATGCCTAGGAAGCCGTCAGTTTCATGTGGAAACCTTCGCTCTGCAATGCGCCGCTAAAAAAAATCCGCAGCTGCATCTTTTTCAGCAGCTCAACACGTTCTGATCCGCCCTACGCTTCGCATCGATTGCGAGTTAATATCAGCCTTTCACTGTACATCAAGATGTGAATGCAACTTGTTGGACACGGGCGGATGGTGTTGCTCGCACTATGAACTGGGACGGCGATGTCATTTTGCTGTTGTAGGAGGATGGCGGGGGCGATTGGAATTTGAGTGTGGATGCGGACTGTGGAGCCGACGCATGCACGCTCGATGCAAGTGCCCGGGGCACCTGAGCAGAGTCTGCGGAGGTTTCGCTTTCAACGCAGCCAGCCTGCGCACACTGCATCTGGGCTGAGGTTCCGTGCGGCTCCCGCCCAGCGCGCGCGGTTTGGTCATCCGATTTTCGATTTTCAACGCAGCGCCCTCGCTTGAGCGCGCCCGCGCCAGAGTGTGACGCTGCTCTCTGCAAAGCCCCAACTTCGCACCCCGCCAGCCGAGCCGACGTCAGAGCGTCGCCACCGCCCGACTCGCCGCCATTCTCCACTGGGCTGGGTGTGAAACATGCTGGTCCGGCTCGCTTCGTTCGTAGCGTGACACGGATGGGGTGCCCGCCGAGGTTGGCCAGGGTGCTCCAGCCACAGCCGCTAGTCATATATACCCATGTCATCTTCGTGCTTTGCTGCTCCCGTTCACTACAGATATTGGTCACACCATGGCGACTGCAAAGGCTGACATTCCACAGGCGGCCGGCAAGGCCCCTACCACACGTCCATCCATGGGCGACCAGAAGCTTACGGACAGCAACGTCCCCTCGATTGCTCCCGACAATGCGTGCGACGAGCCCTCGCCGTACGCGCCCGGCGGTGAGGGTCACAAGGCGATCGCCACCGACCCGGCCACGGGCGAAGGCTACGACAAGGTGTACGGTGTTCGTCCCAAGACGACGTGGCACCTCAAGCCCGCATCGGAGCGTACGCTGTGGGAGTTTATCGCATCCATCGACATCGCTCCCGACGTGTGCTACGCCAAGCGCGACGCCTCCGAGAAGCTGCGTGGCCCGCCCCCCACCCAGCCGATCTGGAAGGAGAACGTGTTCATCCTTACGACCGCGTCGGTGGCACCTCTGCTGCACACGGCGTGGAACTACACCTTCCCGAACCACCCCATGCACTGGGCACCCGCGTGGATCATGTACCACACCGCCTTCATCGGGTTCGCCGTGCGCATGATCCGACGTCTGCACAAGTACATGGCCGAATACGGCACGCTCGACGAGCAGAACCGCGGCCGCGACCTTGTCGACGACAAGCACGTCAACCACCTCGGCCAGAGCATCTTTATCTACACCATCTTCCGCACGCTTGCGCCGTTCATGCTCGCATGGCGCGGTGACATGACCAACGTCTTCGAGGGTCTCTCCTGGGCCACCCCGCTCAAGATCGGATGGTGGGAAATCGCTCTCGACTACTGGTTCTACCTCTACCACCGCTCCTGCCACGAGTACGACTTCCTCTGGTTCATCCACAGACAGCACCACGCCACCAAGCATCCGACGCCAATCCTGTCCATTCTCGCAGAGGACTACCAGGAGGTGCTCGAGATCTTCATCGTTCCCTTCCTCGCAACCGCCATCTCGCCCAAGATGAACTTTATCGAGATGTGGTTGGTCGTTTGCTACACGCTCTACGTCGAGGCTCTTGGCCACTCGGGTATCCGGGCTTACTGGGCACACCCTGTGCTTGGTCGAGTGCTGGCTCCGTTTGGCATGGAGCTGACTGTCGAGGACCACTCCAACCACCACCTCTACGGAAAGGCCGGTATGAACTACGGAAAGCAGACGCGTGTCTGGGACCGCCTCTTCGGCACCGTCGACCCCCGACGAGAGACCATGGAGGTCGGCATCTTCGGATCCTAGTCTTCCCCTCTGTTCTTGATGTATAGTTGCGCCAATGCATTTGCTTTCGTATCCTCTGGTCGTGTGTGGTGTGTACCTGGCGTAACAATAGCGAGGTTTGGGGGAAAATTAGTACAGATGAGTACGAGCTGAGCACCGTTGCAGGTCGTTACCCA